CGAAAGTGCTGCTATCATTTTCATTACCCTCTGAAGCGTGGAGAATACCTCTGTATTTAATATTGTACATGTAACATTTCTCTTTTCACAGACTTATGATATGTCAGTTTAACTAGTTAAAAGATTTGACTAGGAAAAAAAAATTCCATCTGCACCTCACCCTTATTTTTATTGTTTTGCTACATGTCGTATCACATGATGAAAATTAGAACTACCCAAATCATGAGAAATCAAGGGCTTCCATTAGAAGGGTGAGAAAAAGAGGTTTTTAGTCAAAGCATTTTGGTGTTAGAATAAACTAAATCCAAGAGTCAAAGGAAATTTACTTTGAGTCCTTCAGGGATGCCATTACTCTGTAAATACCGCTTGTCAAAATGCAAATTGGGTTAGAAGAGCAAATTCAGAGACACTGTTCTTGATACAAAAAGTGAAGACCTAAGTTGACCAGGTCATGCTAAATGAAAGAAAGCCTAAGTAGTGTTTTTGTTAGATATTAAAAAATAATTTACAAATATACTTGAACTTCATGTGTAAGGTGATTTTATAAATTGAGTAACTGATATCTCAATGAAGGCACTCCTTGGGAATGATGCTCATTTCTATGGGGTTAGTTATATTTTTTAAACAAATTGACACACTGTTGGAAATAAAGCCATCCTTTTCCAACTATATAAGTTCTGTATCTAAAAGTGCAACTTCTTTTGTTTATGCCCATTTAGTTGAAGGAAAGAGTTGTGGCCTCTAGGAAAAGTGAAGCCCATAATGACTTTTGTTCATGGTTCCTTCTTTATGCACCATTTTTTCTTTCTCAGTTTCAAGGGTTCCTTCTAACTCTCCCGCTCAAATTTTTCTTTATGGAAGAAAAGGAAATAAATAAATTCATTCAAGATATATTTATTGATGTGCTTCTATGTACCATGTACTCTTCTAAGCACTGGGAAAGCAGCGGTGAACAAATTAACAAAAAGCCCTGGCCTCCATAGGGTTTACATCTTGGAGCATAGGACAGGATGGTGATGCAGAATCTTAATACAGAAGTCTGGATGAAAATCAAGGGCAAACTTAACAAGTATTTTTAGTTGATTTGTCCATTTTATGAAATTCCATCAGGGCTCAAACCCACTTATGTTGCCTCTGATTCTAGTGTCAGGAGACAAATATTAAACAATATGAATAAGTGAAGCATTTGATGATAAAACATTATATACCAAACAAATAAAAGAGTGATGGAGGGATGGTGTATGACTGTGCAGTTTTAAATTGAATGACCAGGTGAAGACTTGCTGAGTGGACAGCATTCATGTAAAGATCTGAAAGATGTCAGTTCAGCAGTCATTTTCAATTTTGGTTTCTTATACTTAATTAACAGGGGGATTTTAATACATTTCAGAGCAGGTAGCCAGATGGCAGATATGACTAATTAATTAATTATTATTACTATTGTAATATATTAACTTGTTGATAACTTGTCAGACAGGCCTGTGAAATCATCTTCGTTCATTTCCATCCAAGGACACCAAGGGGGATCTGGGAATTGGCTGTTAAGGAAAGGGGAGAGCTCTGAGGAGCAGTTAAGAAGAGATTGCAACAATACAAGTGAAAAAGAAAGGAACTAAATGAAGATGTCGACATTTTCCCAAAATGTTAGAATGATCGGGTTTCTGGCTTTACTTTGCAGTCCTTTCATTATACCTAACTGCCTTCAGGATAATGCCCAAACCTCATTATTTAGCACTGACATCTTTTCCAAAACTGCCCCTTGCTAGTTTTTCTTAGGGGTGTGTCTCTGCTTCAATTAAATCGTTTTTACAAAAGCAGATGGTGGATCGAATTTTTTCCACAGTCGGCTGTTTGCCTACCTCTGTCTAGTTTATGTGGCTCTACCACCCTTAGCACATAGTTTCCATTCTAATGTGATCTTACTAGTGCAAGAAACTTCTGGATTTGCAGCCAACATGTCAACATTTCAGGTAGGAAGGTGGAGGAAAGGAAAAAAAAAAAAAAGATTAAAAGGACACTTGCCAGCTGTTTCCTCTAATAGAACTTTCCTATATGCCTCACTCAACATCTGCTTACATCTCATTGGCCACTTCTTCACTCAGAGAACCTGGGGAATTTAGTCATTTAGATTATTTTCATTCAATAAAATTAAGGTTCTTTCACCAAGGAAGCAAGGGAGAATGGATACTGGGTGGGCTTCCAGCAGTCTCTGCCATACCTACCAGGTTCTAATCACTCAGTGTCAGTTTTCTAATTTGTCCAAAGGGGAGACTATTAGCACCTACCTCACAGAGTTGCTTTGTGAAGGCTGAATACAATTAGGAGAGTGCCTTGCACACTCATGCTCTCAATAAAGCTGACACGCTGTTGGAATTAGCATTATTTTCATTTTTTGTATGTTCTGAACTTTGCTATATGTCCAGTGCCTAGAATGCTGTCTGGAGCACAGTGGGGCTCAACAACATTGGAATGAATAAATGGATTAAATGTTAGTTCTACTTTTAGTTCTTTGAGGTATCTCCATACTACTTCCATAGAGCTTGTACTAGTTTGCAGTCCCACCAGCAATGTATGAATGTTCCTATCTCTTCACACCCATGCCAACATTTGTTGTTTTGGTACTTTTTGATAAAAGCCATTCTGACTGGAGTTAAGCAATATCTCATTGTGGTTTTGATTTTCCTTTCCCTGATGATTAGAAATGTTGTGCATTTTTTATATGTTCCTTGGCCATTAGTGTATCTACTTTTGAAAAGTTTCTGTTTATGTCTATTGTCCATTTTTTAATGAGGTTGTTTGATTTTTTTTTCTTGTTGATTTGCTTGAGTTCTTTATAGATTCTAGTTATCAGCCCTTTATTGGATATATAGCATGCAAATGTTTTCTCCCATTCTGCAGGTTGTCTATTTACTCCAATCATTGTTTCCTTGGCTGTATGTATACCATAGAGTACTACTCAGGCATAAATAAAATGGTGAACTAATACCTCTTGTATTAACCTGGATTGAACTGGAGACCATTCTTCTAAGTAAAGTATCAGAAGAATGGAAAAACAAACACCACATGTACTCACCATTAAATTGTAATAAATCAATCAACACTTATGTGCACATATGGAAATAACATTCATCAGAAATCAAGCAGGTGGGAGGAGGAGGTGGGGAGGGGTAGATTCACACCTAATGAGTACAATGCACACTGTCTAGGGAATGGGCACACTTTGATTCAAATGGTACAAAAATAATTTATGTAATCAAAATGTTTGTACCCCCATAATATTCTGAAATTTATAAAAAGGGAAAAAAAGAATGGATAAATGAACTGCCATTACCATCAGTTAAGATTTTAGGATTATAGGCAATAGAAATTGATTCTGGCCCACTAAGTCCTGGATTTTTTTTTATTATCTTTTTAAAAAAGATTTTAATTAACAAACAATAATCACATATAATCACATTGTGATGTCTCAGTATATGCATACTGCATATTAATCCTTTATTAAAAGAATATCATAAGCTTCTGGAAATAACGAGATAGCTGGAGAGTCTAAAACAGATATCCAATTATTTCTATAATCATTTAGGTGCAACTATTTTCACCCTTCTCGAAGTGCTCCACTTGACATTTAAAGCCCCAGAAGATGGAGTGTAATGTGCCAATGTGACTGAATCATCCGTATCCCGTTAGTTAGGAAAGGACAGTACACATTGTTTTACGGTTCCACCAAAACTGCCTGTAACTAGAGAAAGGCAGAGAGTTAGAATGACATTTGCGTGAAGATGGAAATCAGCAGGAGGAAACTGGGTGGAAGACGCAGAAACGTCCATCGCAGATTACTATTGCTTTTCGTTTGCATTGCATCCGCAAATTCATGGTTGTCTCTGGGAGAGAAAAGATACCCAACAATTTGACCTATGTTAACACATTAATATCATCATTTTTCCCCATTAAATAGAAAAATACCACCTTGTAAAGTTGAGTGCAGGCGCCCTGAACACATGAGACTGAAAGTGATGTTGAAGAAAGGCAAGGCACTGAGACCAAATGAGACTTGTCCATAGAAGTACTGTGACTTTAAGTAATGGCATCTATTGTGTAAATAAGCCTTCCAGTAAAATCATTTCATAAACCAAGTAATTTTTTCTAAATACTTCATTTTCTATAAAGATTGCAATGACAGTTTGGCTGATTAATGAGCAATTGAGTATAGTCTCTGACAAAAATGGTGAAATCAGATAGTTTTTCATTTTGTTTGCTTTTATAGATATAGCCAGTGAATGTAGGTTCATGACAACCTAGGGATTTATTTTAAAGCATGATTCACAATAGAATCATCTACTATCATTACACAAGCCTTTCAGACATTTAGAATTGCTTTAATTTGGCAATGTTTTTGAGAATTTTTAAAACTTGTAAAACTAAAATTATTCTCTTCATATGATTGCTAGAAAATATTTATGACTCATCAAAATACTTTTGCATGATTGCATATATCTGTGTTACTGCTGAAGACCATTTCAAGCAATTATTGGAAGTCTATATTATAAAGCTGAGCACAAAAAATTTATTTTTATGAAACTATATGTAAAATTTTCTTCACATTTTTTACTCTTAATTATGTTTATGTCTACGATTTGGTAATAGCAAATGCATATAAAAATACCATTAAACAATTAAAAATTAAGTATTATACAAATTAAAATACCTTCCAAATATATTATTTAGGAATTAAAAATCCTTAATATTTTATACTTGTCAATCTTTTTTCTTTGTGTAATAATGCTAATCTTTTGATCTTTGTGTTTTTCTTTTTGCAGTTAACAGATTATTGAAACTCCAAACATCCACAGCAGTTTCATGTGGACAGTTTGCATATTTTGAAAGCGTGTGGTATTTTATCATGAAACATGCCATGTGGAATCTTTGAAGCATAGAGCTCTGCCCAACACCTGAGTGAAGAATCCCTCACCTGGTATGTGAGAGAGCTCCTCACCACCACCATGACAAACCAGGAAAAATGGGCCCACCTAAGCCCTTCAGAATTTTCTCAGCTTCAGAAATATGCTGAGTGTAAGTATTAATAATATGATTTTATTTGGCATTTGTGCTAAACAAAGTATCATTTATTTACAAGAACAGATCATAGATCCTATTCATCATGGGCATAGATGCAAGTGTGTCTTTTGTGTTTTAGAAAGAAGTAGACTTGAGACTTCCTTTCTGACATGATAGAAAGGAAAAGGCAAATTAAATCAAGCATCAAATCTAGAAGAGAAGGAACTAGGACGTTAGATGCAAAACAAAGCTTGGAAAACACTCCAACTATATTAAAAATAAAGCAGAGGATGAGACACACTGGCAGAATGGAGACCTGTAATACTCTAACAGAGAAGGAGAACAACAACAGGAGCACAAAGACAGTGATGAGGAAGTAAAAGGATGAAAAAAGCAATGTCATACTTGAGTCAAGCTGTTCTGATTCAGAGATATTAGGAGAAAGGGAAAAAGTGAGTTTTGTTTTTGTTTTTGTTTTTTTTTCTGCCTAACCTATCATTTCAAAAAAGATGAAGTAGAGAGTCATAGATACATTGTGGATTAGAATTAGAGATTGTAAAGGAAAGAGATGTCAGGACCTCAAACCAACTTGTTTAGTGTGTGTATTGATGGAAATGGTCGGCCATGATAATTCACTTTGCAGCACGTTATTTTTACATATTAAGGGTTTTCTTCACATAAGTTTAGTAAAATTTTATTCACGAGAAATTTGTTTTTACTATAGATTTTAAAGAATATGTCTATTTCACAAAGTGAGTTTCAGCTATAAATATGAACATCAGCTGGGTTGAGGAATTAAAGAAAGAAAAAGAAGCAACTAAGAAATAGGAGGCACCGAAAGGTTTAGACAATGGTGAGTAGAGAGAAAGTAATACATAGAGGATGTGACAAAAATGGTGAGAGTGGAGGGAATGCCACAGTGACTGGGAGAATAAAATGCAGAAATGGAAGAGAGGAAAAGAACCAAGAGCGCGTGTTAGTGAAAGAGGTCAAAACTGAAGCATCTGGTGATACTTACGCAGAAGGATAATGTGGCATTTAGGAGATGCATATCCAGAATGAGTTGGATAATATTATGAAGAGGGAGCAGAGAAAAGGGTTGACCACAGAATTGGGATTTGGAATGTGAAGAAATAGAGGTGATGGTAATAGTGAATATTAACCCTCATATTTATAGCATACATATCATGAGTTAGGAACAATAATAAACACTTCATGAATATTATCTGAAGTGGCAAGTGTCAAAGGTATTCTAGAGCTTTCCTAATCTGAATATTGAGTGAGGGTGTGAAAATTGTGCTGGGTATTTGTAAGGAAGTTCCAAATCTATAATTACATGTGTATTTTCTTAGTTGATAACAATAAAAATACAATCACTATCATATTGGGAAGGGCGAAAATTTTGACATCAAAATATGGTCATCATACTCAAAACCATTTAGGGCCACTGAATGCACAATTCATCCATTTATCATGTTAAGAAAATTTAGCCCAGAATGGCCAAATTCTTGTTTCTCACCTGCATTCTTATACTCAATATTTACTAAATTGATTAAAAAATGATTTACATATAATTTCAAATTTCCACATGCTTTTTGCTATTGTGGTATATCCAATCATTAAGTAAACATTTCTGAGCATCTTCTTTAGGGAGAGTATTTAGGCAGAATATTATAAGTGCCACAAGCAAGCGTTAAAGTTCTTATGGGGTTTTAGTATTCAGTTGGAGATGGGAAAAGAAGGAAAGTCTTCATGTAAGAATTAGGATTTGAAATTAATCCTGAAAAATAGGTTTAAGGTAAATATTAAGCAACAAATAACATGACATGGAGAAAAAGGAAAATTTAGCATATAGTTGAAGAAGGGAGGTGAACCACATTTAGCCCATCACAATTGAAGGGAGTAAGTGGAATTAAGGCTGTAAAAATGAGATGGGATCAGCATAGGTAATGCTTAACTTGAGTCAGGCAATGAAGAGTCATTGTGGGGTTATAAATGGTAGAGTGACATGAACAATTTTGTACTTTAAGAAGTTTAATTTGACCACTGAGAAAATGGTACATGGTAATGGAAAAAATACTAGAGTCAGGCCAATTAATAGGCTATTGGAATAGACTACGTAATGTGGATCATGAATGAAGAGTTAAACAGTGGGGATTCAGATATTGTAACATTAAAACTAATGGAGGAGAGCTTGAGAAATAATAAAATATGAGAACTGAGAGAGAGAAAGATCTCAAATTTAGCTCCAGACTTGGAGGATGGGATTATGGTGATATAATTCTTCAAGTAAAGAAAACACTGAGTTTGGATTAGGTCGTGTTGAACTTGGCTTGATTATTAAAATGTTATTTTCCATTATTTGGGTACTTAGAGGAAAAATACCTGTAAGTATTACAGGAACTGTTAATATAAAATAGATAATTATTGCTGTGATGGCTGAAACATAATTTATAATTACTGTTGTTCAGATATAGAAATTCCATTTGAACTGGTAAGCAGAAAGACAGTTCTACTAAAGTCTTACAGGTATTATAGGCTGCTACTTATATTTTATTGGCTAAGTAATATGGGGGTACATTTAATTATGCCATAAGAATGCTTGAATTAGTAATCAATTTGTGGAAATGCCTAAACAATGGTTATAAAAATTATAATAAACATAAAAATTATAACATATTGAGACGAAGACTAACAAGTGGTTGGCAAATTGGTAGTACAAAACAACACAGTGAGTGTAAGAACATATTAAAATGGATTGTTTGAGAAGACAAATTAATATTTAATTATTAATTTAAAGAAATAGTGCCCATCCCATGATTATTACACCTGCTACTCCTTTTCAAATACGCAAGAAAACATGAAAGTGCTAGATTTAGTACTCCAAGAATTTTCCTGTATACTTCGAAATTAAAGAATACCATGATTAGAATGCATTCTTATGTAATAAATTTCCATTGACAAGATATAACTTGAAACAGACTTACCATCCTGAAGATTACAAAAGTAGTACAGTCTCCATGCTGTTTGGTACATGTAATCAGTTTATCAGGGGCTTTTAAAGATTAGATTTTTCATGTTGCAATGCAATATTGGCAAAGTGACATTCCTCCATACTTCAGTAGGAAAATGGTATACTGAATTGACTTTTTTGATTTTAACTGTTTCATGCCTTTTAATAAGAAATTGTTTATGTACATTAAATTAATAAATAAATAAAAAAGTTACTGATTTAAAGTTAAATTTGTCACATGCTAAGATTATATGTGATATATATCAAATAATATTTTATATGCTTTTTTGGGATGGAGTGGGGCTGTGGAACTCTTGGGCAAGATGAATGAGATCATGGAAATCTTAGCCCAACAAAACCAAATCATTCAATGTTGGACCTAGAGAATACCGTAAAGATCATTTTCTCAGGTTACTTATCAGATTTTAGATTCTCTCCACAATCACCACAATATACTCTGGAACTGTGATTGTCCTCCTAACTGCTAGACTTTTCTCAAAATTAATTATGGATAATTTGGGTGATACTGGCATAGCTAGTTAGGCAGCTAGCACATCAAACAGCTTGGGTTCAAATCCTCATCCCACCATACTTTAGGTATCTGACATTGGAAAATTTACTTAACAAATCTGTGATTCTTTTATTTTTTGTCTGGCAAATGTGTCTAGCATTGTAAGTATTAAGTTGAATGGATGAATATAGGTGAAGTAACGAGAACAGTGCCTGGCGAATTGATAGTGATGTGACTGTTTATAACTATTACCTTCATAGAGAGGGAGGAAGTGTGGTCTGTTGGCTATTTGAACATATTGTTGAGGATCAAGTAGGAAAAGTGTCGCATGTTGAAGCATGAAGATTTTGTGTCTTTTTTTTTTTTTTCTGCCATGAGACTAGATTTTTCTCACAAGGTAGAAGCTTCTGGTGCTCTTGGCAGCCGCAGTTCTGTGTTGTCCCCACAAATGTGGAAGGCAGCTAATGTGGAGCCTGCTGTGGCTGCCTGAAGCATGCTGCGACCGTGCTCCTGTTTAAGGTTTCAGGCTGAGTCACTCCATGGGAAGCATTTCCATTGATATGTGGGAGGGGAGTATAATTTTCTCCTCCACTTTTTATATAAAGTCATCCAAACTGTTATAAGATAGAAAGCTCTCACTCCTGCTGGGTAGAGAATTGAGTTTATCACATTATTGGACTTCCCGTGCTTCCTGCTGTGGTTCCATGGCACAGCAAAGGGTTAAGAAACTCCAAGTCTTTTCATGGATAACAATATTTTCTATGTAAAATCTACATGAGATTTCCAAATGATTCATTATCTACCCACATATTGTCACTTAGGCTTAGCTCTTCATTTGCTATATATAAAGTGTGTTATATAGCATGTAAATTATTTTTGAAAAATACTGTGTTATTATGGTGGGAACATTTCCAAACTTTCATAAATTTCATACTGTTTATAGCAGCTGGCATTGTTAAGAGTTGCAAAATTATGGTGAATTTGTTCTTTTCAATAAAGACCAATGTGCCTCGTGTCTGAACCTGGTGTGCAATTTCTTCCACTGGAGAGAGAGGTGTGTGGCATGGCATAGTGGAAAGAGCATTCAAACTAATATTTGATGGTGTTGAATTTTAGCCCTGTCTTCTACTGATTAGGGGTATGACCTTGGGAATGTTACATAAACTGCCTGAGCCTCAGCTTTTTCACCTGAAAAAGTAGAATCAAACCTCAAAAGGTTGTTGTAGGATTTAATGAGACAGTGATCAGCATCATAATAAATACTGGGTTTTTAGTGTACTACTGTAAATAATATACAAGTATTAACTCATTTAATCCTCACAATAAGCCATTTCTGGCAGATTAGCTGGCATAGAGCTGTGGCTCTGTAAGTGATAACAAAGTCGAAACAGTAATAATTCATTTATGTTTCTTATGAAGATTGATTTATTAATAAATAGATTATTAATCTATTTCTGAAATAGGAAAAGCTACAATCCAAGACTGAGATCC